GGTTACATAACAAAGGACTTCAAATTATTTTATACACCATTTTTAACGTGGGAAATCGAATATTTAATATTAATATTTAAAATTTTTTTAATAGTTTTCCATTCCCGGAAATTTAAAGTTCCATTTTAATGGGGGTTAACAATTTCCGCTGAACAATGCATTCCTTTTGGGATTGACATAAAAACCAGCATAAATTTCCCGAACTAACCAAGAAGGACTTTCAATTTTTTCACAGACTTTTGAGTTTGGTAGCTGTGAATATTATGTTAAAACACGATAATAAATGTAATTCAACAATGCTTTAGATTCGAAAAAGGGGGTTTTTATGGTTTTGTTTGTAGTTCTCCAAAATATATACATATATTGGAAGTGGAGGGAGTATGGACTTTTGTTGTGGAAATGAATACAACAAAAAAGGCGAATAAGTTTTTTCCTTTCCTTTTGTGTTCAATGGTGGGTTCCATTACCGGTCAATTTTTCTTTTTTTTTGCCAGTCTGTGATCCTTAACAAAATGCACAACAACGTTGTGATGGTGTGTGTGTTTGTGTGAATATATTCTTAACGAATGGTGTGGATGAATGAATGCTTGAATGTTTGGGTTTTCGTTTGTTTGACTATAAATGCTGACTACTGGATCCTTTTCATTGCGACCAACAAACACAAAAACACACCAGCTCACACACTCAAATATTTTATATGTGTGAGTGTATATATAAAAAAAGAAATTGTGTGAAACAACACCATCCCACAGAGTATGGAATTTTCATACGCGAACATGTCGGAAATGAATAAAATGAAGACATGTATTGTTGCTGCTGTACTGTTTCAAAACTGCAAACGACCGAGGTGGTTGTATGTGCATATATATATGTATGTATACATTTTTTTGTTTGGGTGATTTTTTGGGTTTTATGTCACTTCATTTTGTTCGCTCTTTCTGAGTATGGGTGTCTGTATGTCTGTGTGTTCGTTTTGGAACATTTTGTCCATTTCGCCTCGTTTTCATTGTTATGGCCACGGCTTGCTGCTGTGTTAACTCTGTGTTATATAGCCATTTTGTTATGCCCATTTTGTTCGTTGTAGGATTTTGTTTTTTTTTTGTTGCTGCTGTTGTTGTTGTTATGGTTTAATCTCACACCCGCCTTTTTAATGGTGTCACAACATCGTCCGCATTCGAATGTGTTAGCAAACACACACACAAACACAAAAAGGTCATAATGAATTTTCAAGTTCATAATAAAATTTGTTGAAGTTTTTCATATGCAGTTTTATGGGTTTCTTGCCAGTTGGGGTTTTTTACGACGAGCGGGTCACGAACGAACGAACAATAATGAAAAATAATTTTTAAACTGTAGGGGTAATTTAAATGTCGACATGATGGGAATGAATGTATGATATTGAATGGCAGCGTTTTTGTAACAGAACAAGGTCGTGCAACAGAGTTTTATCTATGAACTATCGATCATTGTCATGTGGAAAAGGACATTATGAGAAAAAGGTAGTTATTTTACATTAATTTTTTGGACTTGGAAATGGAAGCAGATATCGTTGGTCGATTGAAAAGTCGTAGCATGTACACGTAAATGCCGTTAGTAAAATGAAAAGCATACATTTTCTTTATGTGAACATTTTTATACCCTCATGGCTAATGAGAGTTATAAGTTTGATACACTTTCAGCTTTCCTATGCGATCGCTAAGATTCTCTGCGATCCACGTGAACATCTGCGTTCATTTGCCTACTAACTCTCGTCTGGCAGGTATCGAAGTGTCAACTTGGACTACTGCCGCATAACGTCTACGCTTTAGATAAACATGCCTCTGTCTGTCTTTGGGCAGTTTTCTTCGTTATCCCGCACTCCATCTATACAACCACGGCGATGAGTGTAGCAATATCCTCGGTTAAACAGAGGGTATATACACTTTACTATGGCAAATATGTGCCGAAATACTGGTTGTAGACCTGGTGTTCCTTTTGACTAAATAATTTTCCGACAATTAGAATATTTACGAATGTCTGTCCGTTCGTGCGTCTGACTGGTTCACAGGATAACTCTTGAAGGTAGTAACCGATTTCATTCAAACTTTGCATATCATAATATTTCTTCCAAACTTTAATCAGGTTCGAAGATGGATCGGTCTACTCCTTTTGGTAACTCCCCCCACAAAATTGTAAAAAAATGTTGCTTAAAATTTATTACACAGTGTCTGCGAACGGACTATCCGATTTGAACTTGGTCCTTGCACTACATAATATTTAAGCATGCCATTATAATGTTAAAAGAGGGGACTTATCGGCCCTCTTTTTCAATACCTCCCACACAAAGGGTCAACATCTCTAGGGAATGAAGGTTTTTATAATGAAACCAGTAAGCGGAGCAGAATAGCCGTACGGGGCCGACCATTTTATATCCTGCACAGCTACCAAGCCTGGGTAATATTTCGCCATATTTTCATTTCTTTGGGCACTTAGATGGTCAATAGTTCCTCAGCGGCTCTTTTCCGGGAGTAAAAAGAGTACTCCATAAGATTTCGCACAATAAAGTTTTGGCCATAACCGGAACCTCATGCAAAATTTCCTAGCCATCAGCGCTACATTTCCGCCAACTAGTGCGGGTATTGGTAATACCAAACAATCTCTCTCTTGGTCGATTTGCCCTGCTAAATATTGACCGATTATCATGGAAAACCAAGCTATTTCTTGGTTAGATTACTTCTTCTGATTAAAATCACGTGATGGTTGGTCTAGAACAACTAGAAAAACCCGACAAAATGTATCGAATATGATCGCTACATAAAATCATATTAGCATATTCGTCCTCTTACATTAAAAGAATTGATATCTGATTAAAGATCAACCATCCCTCTTTCATATGTTGGTAAACTATCCAGAATATAGAGAATTGAAGAAGGAAAGTGATACCTTGGCTCACTCCATTCAATGGCAGGATACTTTACATTCGTTTCGCAGGATGCTTGGCTCAGTCTATTCGATGACAGAATTTGAAATACCAAAAATTGGAGTAGGCGTGTAATAATTTGGAATTCGGGATAGGAACGTATTACACAGGGTTATTCTATTCGACGATAGGGTCCAAAATACGAGAATCGAAACAGGAGTTCAATACAATGGCACAATCGACTGGCAGTAAGTCCGCATTCCTATTTTTGGTCCTAGTTCGTTTTCAATGTAAAACATCGGTTTTTCCATAAGCCGAGCTTAAAAAAGATTTTCAAGCGCGTTGGTCTTTGAAAGACCATGTTCCGAGATATTGTCTTCTACTTGATTTTTCCATTGGATTCGTGGCCTTTCCCTTCTGCGTGAACCATCACTTGGCTTGCTTTTATATGCCTTCTAAGTAGGGGAATCCTCATCCATTCTCACAACATGACGTAACCAACGTAGTCGCTGCAGCTCGATCCGTCTGACTATGTCGATGTCCGAGAATAGATGGTGTAGATCGCGGTCCACGATATTCACCGTCGAGGTAGATAGTTATTACCAAAAGTATGGGTTTTTTTTTGCCAGAACCCGTCGTACATGAAAAATTTCGTGACGGTTGGTCCTTAACTGTGGTCCTTAACGTGTTAAAAATTACACTGTACAGACGGAGACACATGTCTAGATCAACTCAGCTAGTCGAAATAAGACAATCGGTATACTAAAAGGAGTTACACAAAGCGTATAAAAAGTACCCGGACGCTTTCTTGTTTTCACTAAAAGAGGATCGCACCCAGTTTATTTTGTATATTTTTCTTTCGATCAGTTTTATAACAGTCGTATTTTCCAACTAGTCTCATCATGATCACCATTTGTTTTCAACATATTTAAATTAATAAATTAACAAATAAATAAAGTTCTTTACTCACCCCATTCTTTTCACACACACCGCCTGCATTCTTCAAATCGCCCGTCCAGGCTAAACCCAGTGTGCCCATTTCAAAATCCCGATAGGTGAACATATAAGCCAAGCAGAAAGCATCGTAATCCTCCTCTGAAAAGGAAAATGGCAAACAAACAAAAATACAAACATTGAGATATTTAGATACAATTACTCTAAGAGTATTAGGAATCAGAAGAGAATCGAAGATAAAAAAGGAAAGCTTATACTAGAAAAGAAAACAAAAAAGTAAACAAAAGAAGACGAGACGAACTGATAGCATTACAACAGACGTCATTTAAGGGGACCCCCCCATTCTCTGGGTCAAAATTTTTGTTGACTTAATTCCAATCTACACTAATTCAAGAATGTCCCTGCAAAACTTCAAGTAAAAATCTCAAGAACTCTTGAAGATATAGCAGATTTATTGTGTCAGCATCAAGTGGCGGCTGAAGGGCTTCTCAAACTTTAAACGCGTTTTTCTCTAAACATTTTTTTGCGAATGGCGGGCACGATAACTCAAAAACTAATAATCCAATCGGTTCCAAATTTTGCAACGTTTCTCTGGGAGTGTATAGCTCTCGTATGAACTAGGATAAAGCCAATCGGTGAAGATCTTCCTTATTTTTTAACTTGGTTTTTGGTAAAAAATCGGCGATTTTCCAAAAAAAAATTTTAAAGGTCCACCATTTTATTTATTTTAGAGCGAAGTCAATAATCCTAGTTCATACGAGAGCCAGACATGTACTCTTTCTAACACCGTTGGAATTTTCGGATTCCGATGTTCCAGTGAGGAGTTATCATGCCCGCCATCAAAAATAAGGACTTTTCTTTAATTACAAAAAACAACAAAACAATAACAAAAAATTTTTGTAAATTATTTTTCTTCTCTTTTAAATCTTCAAATATATATGTGCAAAGTTACAAACCTTAACAAGCATTGGTATTGATTTACCAGCCCATTGAAAATCTTGAAAAATTAAAATCGAGAATGGGTGGGGTTCCCTTAATGCCGAAAAACAAAATAAAACATAGCAAGACAGTATGGGGATTATTTTATTTTATTTTGACAAAAAATTGTCTTACCGTTTATTGCAATTTATTACGAATACATACAACAAAATTTTTCCATGTATATGTTAAACATTAATAAATTACTACAATTGTAGATTTCACTTAGGCAGTATGACCTATGTTTGAGCCTTAAATATATGATGATTTTTGGGTACTACATATATATATATATATATATGTGATGCTGTGTGTTGGTAAACATTTATGATAGCATTTAATATACAAGGTATATATGCATCCATGTATGTGTGCAATATTAACCTTCTCTCGGTGGATTTTCATTTCGACTGACTTTCTAACTGAATACACAACAATACCCATTGGACAGACGAAAAGACCGACTCTGTGCATCGCATAAATATTTAAAACTACATTATTGTTATTATTTTGTGTGTGTGTTTGTGTTTCGTTTTCATATTGTGTAAAATGTCACTCGAAGGATACTGTAACATAAAATACGAAATGTACTAAAGAGAACAAAATTCTTATTTGGGGAATATGTCAGATAATTATGAGAATGCCAAAATACCTCGCTTACAATCATTTTTAAAATTGTGAAATCTTTTTGCAAATTATACCTTTTTTTAGATTAAACCAGTACAGTATGGCTGAAATCGCCAATACAAAATAACGACAAAAACAAAACTTTTCAACTTTAAATTTTTAACAGATTTTTGATGGCATTCAATTCACAACATATTGATAAGAAAAATCACAATAGTTTTTACTGCTGGTAACCATATGTATGTAAAAGTTTACCAATGTCGATAGCCATACTCGATTCGTAGTTTGGAAGCCGAATGCAGGTAGTTGGAGAATGAGGTTATCCCTATTCGAGTACGAGATTTGAAATACCAATAATCGAAGCAGGAGCGTAATACACACTCAATTGGCATGATGGATCGAATATGTAGAATTTTGGAACAGGAAAGTATTACATTGACTTACTCTATTCGACGACAGAATCCGAAATGAGAAAATCGAAACAGGGGCGCAATATGAGGCGCATTCTTTTTTATTTTCCCAGAGTTTCTTCTCAATGTGAAAGATTATTATGGTGTAGTCAGAATAATGGTCTTTAGAGCGACTAAACAATTTGATCAGAATCGGACCTATAAGCAACGTTTAGTTTATTGGACAACGGACAAACTTAGCGAAATATCTGGATATGGATCCTCTTATAATGACCTATAGAACTTGTCTTTATCTTCAAGATTTACATTAAACAAACCGACCAGGTGGGACATCGCTGGGCGCCATCTGACTTTTGAAAAATTTGAAAGTTTTTAGAATAAACGTGATTAATACTATTTAGCGTACCAGCACGTGTTGTGTAGTTTATAGTGACATGCATAACCAATATGAAATGAAAAATATGCAAATTTTTGATCGCACGAAAAAAATGCTTCGGTCAACATAAATTTTTAAATGGCGATGAAGCACCATCATATAACAACAAGAAAAATGTTATTAATATTCGATATTACATGCCCGCCTCCTGGCCGCAAAAAGGTTTTTATAATTAGATGCCGAATAAAAAATGATCGTTAAGATTGCTTCTTAGAATGTCAAGGGGCTCCCGATGCATTTCATCTGTAGGTGTATGTAAGCCTTTTTATAGTCGAAAACAACTTTCAAAAATGTATTACTCCTTCGGGGGATTTGAGTGCTTAAATCTGCTTTTCGGGAGTCGCCACAATGATCGTATACGATGATTGAGACGGATGTTGTCGGCAATCGGCTACGATGATTTAATGATGATCGGGGACGGTGGTTGGCGATAATAGTCATCGACAATTTAGTGATGGCTGGGAACGTTTCTTCTCGGGTGTTGGCACGATGATAGGCTAAGACGTAGAAACTACTTTATCTAACTACGAGCAGTAAACCGAAGCCTCTGTGGGGAATAGTAAACCTAATGGGTCGATTATGGAAAGCAACCAAACTCCAGTTACGATTTCAACTGGCAACGCTACTGAAATAAAAATTAACATTATGAATATCAACTTTTCTCAGTTGCCGTCGATAATACTGTTTTGACACTTCTTCAACTATAAATATTGTAAACAAAGAAAAAATTGAATAGAATATTTCAGAAAAACTAATTATATGTGATGATAAGCTCAGTGGAACTAGTTTTGATGATGAAAATGATGTTCAAGGTGTGCCATCTATTAGAAGGCATTTAAGACATAAATCCATTAGAACTACCATCAGTTCTGTGAGTAGATGCTTATGTAGAGAAATGTTCAATCAACTGCTCATTTTAGCTTGAAGGCGTATTTTCGGCTACTAGAAGATGCCGTTGTGTACTTAGTTGAAGCCTGAAAAGCCCGGCGGTTTACAGCAACTCCTCCTCTCTTAAAAATGTGTGCAGCTTTGAGGTTTTTTGCGAAGGGAAGTTTTCAAAAGTCCCAAGGCAATGACTTTTGGCATTGCTCAACCCACAATGTCGGTGGTGTTGGCCGAAATATCCGGCTAAAATTTGGATTGTTTCCAAATTAACAGAGGAGGAAAACGGGAAAAATAAAATTCTTTATATTCGAAAACAAAGTTCCCGGGTGTTGTCGGATGTATTGATGATACACACGGACATATCATGGACCCAAAAGAAGATGTTCGCCACCTTCTGTCATTCATTTGGAATGTGTGGCCTTCCACACATCATCGATAGTGGCTTTGGTTTGACCAAAAGTCCGCATGCCGCCTGCTACATTTGGGTCAGCTTCCATCCGGGCAATTAAGACCTCAAATTGTTCTTTTGTAGTAATATAAGCCATTATGGGAAGCCTACAAATTTCAGTTATTGTAAACAGCAACCAGAAATAAATGGTTGCCGAAAAATTATATTTGAAGCAACTGAAGTTGTCAACAGTTGTCATCCATAATTCTAATTTGGCAACGCCACTAAACTATGGTTACCATCCGTAATCGACCCATAAGTCTTTGTGTGGAACAGTAAGTCGAAGCTTCTGTGTGTATGCATTTATGTAGCCGCCACAATGGACAGTTATGTTTGCGGTTTAACAATGTGAATGAGAATTATGAGGTAGTGTTAGTTAGTTATGGTTGCTCAGGTTCTAGAATTTTGCATCTTGATAATATAGCATTTTAATACAAAAGTCTATATTAATATTGAACTATTTATATAATACAATTTATCAAAATTCCATTTTGATGATATATTTGGTTTTATACACATGTTTGCTGTTTTAATTTTCATTAAATTACATTTTATAATTTTTATTGAATACTAATACTTGATATTAAATTCCGTTAACGCCATCTGCATCAATGTCAGTGTCCTTGAATGAATAAAATTCAATTTACTTTACATGAAGTGCAGAGAACAGCGTGTTGGTCATAATAGAGAGAGAGCTAATTTGTTTCTAGCATTTACTGTAACAACATTTTACGCACGAAAGCGTTTTAATAAAAAACAACACACACACGCCAAACTCTAGTGACGACTACCACCACAGTGAATGGGTGAGTTCAGTTAGTGGAGGTGCTAAAGAAGAATATTCATTAACATCATCATCGTCACAAACGCCATCATCGTAGTTTACCTTGAATTTAGTTTTGAGTAACATGTTTTTTTTTTGTTCTTCAGGTGTAATTGATTTTCAAAACATTTTTGCATATATCGTACATATATTTTATTTCAGAATACCCAACTGGTTGGGTATGTGTTTTTCATTTCCATTCAATGTTTTACCGTGAAATGTTGAACAAAAATATCCTTCAACTTAATATTTTCAATGGGGAAATTAAGTAAAAGTAAGTCATACAACAATTCAATGTGAATACGTGTGTACATACATATATACAAATACATATATATTCCCAACTGCACTTACACACAAAATATGCATATTGAATGCATATGCATAAGATTACATATATTAAATGAAAACCCCGACCACAGACCATATTTAATCAGCTTTTCATGGAAATTAGGTTGAAACGAGTACGGGCACTTGTTGTTGTTTGTGTATAAGATGAAGAATTGCAGCGACATTGGTTAAATTGTACATATA